TAGTGGAACTGCACCCCAGGGTTTCCAAGGCTGTAATCTTTACAGAAGCAAAGCCCAAACCACACCCACTGCCGTGGAGTCTATTCTGACCCACAGCGCCCCTAGAGGACAGAGTGGAACTACACCACAGGGTTTCCAAGGCTGTCAATCTTTACAGAAGCAAAGCCCAAACCAAACCCACTGCCCTGGAGTGGATTCTGACTCAACAGCGCCTCTAGAGGCCAGAGTGGAACTGCACCACAGGGTTTCCAAGACTGTCAGTCTTCACAGAGCTGACTGCCCCATCTTGAGAGAGAGAGGGGGGAAAGGGGAGAAGAGAGAGGAGAGAGAGAGAGAACTTAGCCAAACTGACGGAAGCATTCCAGAAGCCCCCACCTCTGCTCTATGGGGAAGTTCTACTCTGTCCCAGGGGTGGCCATGAGTTGAAATTGAGTGGACAGCCCCCAACAACACAACATACCTATGGCTGCAAGCCAAATGGGAACAGGAGTTGGAGAAAGGAGCCCTCCTGATGCAGTATTTAGGGTCCCAGGGAGTGACCCCGACTCACCAAAGCATGGTCCTTGTCATCCACTGACCAAGAATGACCAAGTGAGATAAAGAGAATTTCACGAGAGCAAAGATTTATTCTAGGAAGAGAGTCTGGCCAGACGAGACCGTGAGGGCTCCAGGCAGCGCGAAACCCCATCTCCCGAGCACCGGGCGGGGTGAGGTTTATAAGAGTTTTTTGGCTAATGTTTCATTCATTACGCTTCTGGGGAAAGCGGGTGTTTCTGGGAGATGGGAAGTTCTGGGTTGGAGGATGGTGATTAGGAATGCATTATGGGATGTCACGCATGCGCTGTCCTTTGGCGTGCGGGGGAGTCCCGATCAGGGCGTCTGTCCCCTCCGGGAGGTCTGCACTGCGTGTGCCTGGAGAGCTGGCAATGACGTTGTGTGCAAACACCTGCAAAAATCTTGAAACCCGAGCTGGGGGAGGCTGCTGGTTAGTTCTGTGCCCTCTGTTCTAGGGCGTGGTTTGGCTTTTAGCTACAGCAGTCAGGTGTGCAGTTTGTGTTTTTAGTTAACCCGTTGGGTTCTCCTCCCTTCTGCCTGTCTCACTCCTGGTGGCACAATGGTTGAGTG